GCTTTACATTTGGATGGAGCAAAATATAGACCATACTTAGATGCCTCTACCGCTAATCGGTTCATAATGTTTTGAACAACCTGCAAGTCGTCGCCCAGCAAAGTCCAGGTCCACGACTCTGCTCCCGCGTGAAAGCTCAACAACGCAGCTCTGGGCTCTTTCTAGTGCGTGATGTGGGACTTCTTCGGTAGCAAACTTGAACAGGAACGGCGCGATAGTACAACCTTGGCGCACTCCACTGGTAACAGGAAACGAAAAAGAAAGCCTGCCATAAGCTCTAACATTGCCAGAGGTGTGACTATACAGCTCTTTCAAGAGTATGACAAACTTGTCGGGAACGCCGTTCCGTAGCAGACACTTCCACAGTGACGACCTATCTACTGAATCAAAAACGGCTCGGATAACCCAAAACACTACCATTGTTTGTGGGCATGACGATGTTCGAGAATTGGACTCAACGTGAAAATTTGGTCAATGTAACCACGGGCAGAAGGAAAGCCAGCCTGTTCCTCATGACACAAACTCTCGCGCATAACTGAGAGCCTACGCAGCAGAATGGAAACAAAAGCTTGGACGCGACAGATAAGTGAGATTTCTCGGTAGTTAGTGCATTTACTACGAGCCATTCTTGTGGATCGGAACCACAACAGATTCTCCCCATGAGTTAGGAACCTTCTCATCGCTCCATACCTTTGTGAACAGTGATGGAATTTCGGTGACAACTTATTTCCCCCTGTCTTTGAATAACGCCTGAAGAAGACTATCAAGGCCAGGTACATTATGGCGTTTCAGAGTTTGGATTTCTCTCCGTATTTCTGCTTCAGTGGGAGGATCTATGCAGACTGACGAAGGATCACATGATGGCAGTGAATGTGTGACCGGAGGTTGTGTTGGACAATTAAACTGGAGAGCAAAGTGCTCTGTCCTAGTACTACTACAACCTACCAATGCATTGAGAATGACCCAACGTCGCAACTAACCAACAAAATAAACAGTGTTGGCGAAGCTTAATCAATCGAACGAAATATCGGAATAGGAACGAGAAAAAATGAGGGCTCGCGACTCGAACATTGCACAATTCTATGGACTACCTCGAATGGTGGCGAAACGTCTGCAATCAAGTTGCCCAGCTCGGAGAACTCCACAACAACTGAGCAAACCTCCCGAGCTACCAATATTCCAAATCATTTCGATTACATAAAGAGCACGTTTGTCTTCTCGACACCTGTTAACCTTGCACGAGCCATGGAGCCTGACAGCACAAAGCCAACTGTTGATCGGAATCCATTCGAGATGGGCGACTTCCGTTCTGGCACTAAGGTGGACCCCAACACCAGCTTGCCCAGAAGCGGTATCCTCGGCGTCTCCAGCAAATCGAAGGTGGAAAGGGGTATAAGGGTGAATTGGTGACGACAATAGGTAAACTGTGCTGGAATTCTGAAGTTGTGTTTCGGACAAACAACAGACATCAATTGCAAGAGTTTCTAGAGTGCGCGCGAGAGCGACTTGTTCCCCAATCTTTTTTAGCTACGCACATCGAACGCTACCAACTTGAACTGCGTCTTCGGTTGCAGAAGCGGAGAGGTGAGAACCTGGGACTGTTCAGTCTCGGTTTGGCGCTGTGTGATTATGTCAGAGGATGGAGCTGCAACAGTGATATCGGAGGAAGCAACGCTGCTCATCGTTGATTGATCAGGCAGAAACGGGGAAGAGTAGATAAGCGAATGGCGTTTAACGGAAGAGTGTTTGTAGTAGCAGTAGTAGTATGAGAGCAAAGTATCAGTAGAACTAAGAGTGCAGTTCAGTTCCATGGTTCATCAGTAGGTGAGATACTACGCGGTTGCTTAGGCCGAAGTAGGGGGTTGTCTTAGGTGGCCGCCACCCCGAGCCTTTGGCTCAATAGCCTACCCACAAGGCAGCGTGGCAAATTCAGGGAATCGCGCCCATTGGGAGCCGGTGGCCGATTACTCGGTTCATACTCCTTTCGTTTGGTCAAGTACCAAACAGGGGCCCAATCCTCCCCACGATGACAGCATCTGGCAGCTGGAATACAATGCCCCACTGGAGTGAAGCAAGGAGCAGTGACTTTATTTAATAGTAACTATTTAGTGGCGAGTCACATCCGCCACGTCGCGGTGTTGTTAAACGGATATATGTGGCTTTTTATAGGGAGAACGCTTGCCAGGCGAAAACCCACCACGTCCTGGAACACTGCCATCGAACCATTATCTGGAACGGGAAAGTTCCGAACCACCAAACTTGCGACACGAGGAGGTTGTTCGGCTAGTCAGCCACTTCGCTCCTTATTGTGAATCTGTGCGCCCGCGCTGTCTCTGATTGTTTCACTGACATCGGGGTTTTTGGGACCAGAGGTGCGGATCAGCTGGAAGATCATACGATAATTGCTTAATGCTCCTACTTCCCCCATTTCTTGAACCCGACTGGTCTACCAGACTTCCTTGCGAGCACACAGGCTCCGCTTTTGTTCGCGCCTAATAGTCCGTCTCGTTACATTTTGCCCAAAACCAGCGATGGGTTTTTTCTTCTGGATTCCAACAGCTTCAACGACCTCTCGGATATCCAGTACCTAATGAGGTGATGAGTGATAGTGCGGCAAGCGGAGGCTCTTGCATGGCGGCTGTGATCCTATTCCATGGAAGCTCAGTGCCATTAGGACAAGATAGCGGAAGTTCGGCACGCAGTGCATCCTGCTAGACTTGCCTGACCGAGGACTGAGATAAATTCTCAGTTGCAAATCGAGGGAGGCTCTTGGTACGCGTCCCGGTAAAGATCATGGATAAATGACAGTGTACCAAGGTATGATCGGAGTCTACGCAGGTACTCCAGGATGGAACCACGCCACCTGTACCTTATGACAACGTGATCTATATGGGTCCACGTTGGTCAGCTACAGGTCGACGCCAAATGTCACTTTGACGCCCAGTATGTCTAAAAGCAATGGTACTAAGAAACAGCTGTTTCTCCGCACACAACTATAACAGACGCTCGCCGTTGTCAGTCCATTCGGAGGTAAGTCCGTACCACCTATCAAAACTTCTGCAAAGCTCATACGACCTACTCGCGCACTCATATCCCTGCAAGAACTATGATCTCAGAACTGGTACCACTGCGTAGCAGCGAATTCAGTTCGTGACAGAAAGCGTCCTTTGCAGCATCAGAATTGCAATCACTGGGGGCATATACGGAAACCACAAATAGCGTCTAGTGCTGCTCCATGACTCAACCTTAGTTTATGTCGTCAAACTGACTGCACAAACACGGCTACTCACGGGATTCCAATCAACCAACGATGACGACCTTGGAGCTGAGAACAATGCCTATTCCAGCTTGACCAATGGTTACCCTCTCAGTGTCTCCAGGTGCATGCAACCAATAGCGAGAGGACAAGCCGGGCGCAGTTGATTCAACAACCCTGTGAGCGTCATTGCTTCTAATTTCGGACACACAACACACGTCGATAACCAGCGTGTTTAACGTGCGTGCGAGTGCAGCCTGTTGATCTACTTGTCTTGGAGTGCGAACATTGAATGCTGACAGCGAAACGGGACAGTGTGGCTTTATAAGGGCCTGTTGCCGATAGGCATCCACTGGGTGGTGCGAGAAAGTGGCTGTAGATGATATGACTCCAGTGATATTGCGGTTGCCGTCTATTAAACCGAGAATTATAGGAGAAATGCTAGTAATGGGGACTGGGAAGGGAGTAAGAGAAACGGTTGAAAAGGAAAGAAGGGAGGTGCCAGCAGTAGCATGTTTTCGCGTATTCGCCCTGCTGTATGCAGCAGATAAGGCGGCATTTGATAAGCTGTGCGACGGCCGATGCCGAATATGGTTTAAGTCTGAAGATGTCATGGTTGTACATGGTCTGGGGTACTACCCGTGTCAATTTTTCGTTTTTATTTTCCTTCACATTCTGTGTTGTTTGTTTGATATTCGCGGTGTGGCTGCGTTTGATGTGAATGTTGACAAGGTGCCTACTTGCCTAACACCCTCCACCTTGATAACTGGATTCTGGAAATTACTGACTTTGCGGGGGGGGGGTGCGTGCTCCTCGTGATCGTGCTAGACTCATCGTGTGGTTCTATCCATTGTGGAGCAAAATGCTGCCAAGCCATCTCCTTGTGTACCTTTGGTACGGTCTGTCTAGGTCGATTGCTACTGATGTGCATGTTGAAGGAGTGTGTGCCGGCTGCTTTGATGGAATGTGTCTCCAATCCGCGGCCTTCACATTTTTATTTCTCCGGGTTTACACTTGATATGGGGTCTACGGATGGAGCTCTGTGGGGTGCAGCGCAAGTCAACTCGTCACTTAATATAATGCATGCCCCTTGCTTCTCTCTGGTGGGACATCGTATTCCAACAATCTGAAGCGGAACTTTTGGCGACGACTAGTCCGCAGTTCTGTTTGTTCCAATCTGCCAACCAGAAGGTCGAATCAGTGCTGTCTGGTGCTTTTCCAGACGTGTCAAAGCCTACTGACTGAGAGGGAACTACGACAAATTACCTCTGAAATTATACTTGGTAAGGGTTGCTGAAGTTTTATTCCTCCCCACTTTTGAGTTTTCGTTCAAGCTTGATGGCGATATCGAGACTTTTGCTGCTTTTCTTGATCTGACTTCTTTGACCCGAAACCCCCTGTGGCACTCGGGAGATCGAGTTATGTGGTTTTTAACTATCGCTATCAACTAGGCGACACGGAAATATCCGAACATGTGTATTTCCGTTGTTTCTCCAGCCTTTTCTTGCTTTTGATCCTAGTACCTTAAATTGGAAGTTTGAATTATTCCTTTGCTCGAAGATTGCTGGTCCTTACCATCCACATATTCGCTGTGCTTTTAGGTGGGCAGTATATGCTAGCGTTTTCATAATTCCGAGAGACAAATAGACTTCCCATCCGTTCTATTTATGCTGCTCGTGAATTCATGGGCATGTTTCGCATTGCCGAGAATAAATGGTCTGTTTATTTGTTTATTTATTTCTAGGCCTCTTGCCTTCGTTGCTGCCAGAGCTTCCATCATTGCACTTGTCAGCTGAGCGTTCGACTTTGGAGCCCTGTGGTTCCTCGTCCGCCGCATGCATCAGTGCGCTATTGAATCTCCGCGATAAAATCTCCAAACCAAATACGACTGGTGGGCCACTCAAGACAATTGGTTCAGTCGTCGTGGATGCGTTCGCGTCTGTGAGCTCGGAACCTGGCCTTGACGTGGGTGAGCTGCCTGGTGCATACTATGAACCTAATCTTTTCAGAGGAATCATTCATTGAATGCACGGTTGTGGATAACTCGCGCATTAACAATTCTAATTATCACTTGCTGCGATTGTGCTGGCCTTCTGACGTGGCCTGGATGCCGGTCCCCTTCGGACATCATGTGGTGACACGGATACGCCAGCAAGACGGTGAGTATTTTTGTCATTCATTTCGTGATGCTCAGCTCGGTTTAATGTTTCCAAACTGACCTAACTAGTTTTTTGCGATTCTGTTAGATCTTCTTTCTATGTGCTTCCAGTTGAAGCGATAACTTACTTCGCGACTCCTGTCTTAGAAAATGTCAGAACTTGAACAACTTGCAACTGAAGCATGTTGAAGCATCAACTACCGAAGCAGACATGTTGTACGAGCTCACCACATATTTATAGATCAAGACAGGAATAATTAAATTTTAGGCAGCTAGGTTAGCTGCCAAAATTTGTAGTGTGGATCCGATCCAACCAATGAGGAGGTAGGTGCATGCATCATATGACACGATTTAAGGCTCTTGCAACGATTTTATTTCGGCCGTGCATTATTGGTTCACACCGTTTTCTCGGTGAACCGATGAATTTTGCTGTAGATTTTGCTTCCTTCCAGACAGACACCCTTCGGTAACTACCGGTCGTCCGAGTCTCGATGGGTTCATCGCTCTGCACTCTGCTTGACTCCTCTTTTGAATTCGGCTCCATTGATCAAGTTTTATTTGCTTCCCTTAATTTTTGGTGCTTTGCTGTTTCTCATTTGAACTTCTCGCCTTCATGATGCTGTGCCATTCATTTCATTTGTCTCATTTACTCAGTCTAGTTACTTGCACATCACCATGGGGCTTTGCATCAGCGAGCCAAGATTCATACTGGGGTTATATGAGTCACAGTGATCATCACTGTCCACATGCTGTCCTTGCATCTCCGCATCCTGCATCCATGTGCAACGAAACAATTACGATCCGAATCGGGTGATGACTGCTGTTGTGACGCGTGTCAATCCTCTTCGTGCATCTTGCCACAGTTTATCCCTAGCGAACCACATAAAAGCCACTCCAACGTAATTGAATAACCAGGCACGCATTCGGCACTATGCTGTAATTAAGATCGCATTACTTGAATACGCATGCTTAGTAGACAGGTTGGCGCAAGTCCAAAAGATAAACAATGGCTGTATCTGTACTGGGATACTATCATCATGACCAAGCCGGAGCGGCCATAAAGAATCATAACAATTCTTCCTTCAAGACATGTCTGTGTTTCAATGATTACTTGGAGACCGACGGTTGATCTCTCACTAAGCATCTCGCATTGAAAGCTTTCACTGCGTGTCACAACTGAGACACTCGGTGGCACTTCAAAACCTAATAATGATTAACCTTCGGTAAACGAGAACCTGTCTGTCTCGCGAAGGTTTGAACTGGCGCGGTAAATCCATTCACGGCGGGTATTCAGAAATCACTGTTAGTTTTCCATCGATTGCTACCTAGCGGTATCGACTTTGGGACCATACATGGTTATGGTAAACAATAAATATTTAGACTTGTTTGGAGTTAAACGCTGAAAACTTCATGTGTGCATCCGCAGCCTGAGCGCATTTGAGGGAGCACATCAGGTATTATTCCCCTTATTGGCGTGCAAAACAACATCTTTGTAGAAAAGGACTGCATTGTGACAAATCGATGGGCCAGTGAGTCCTAAATCAAATGCGTAGAGCTCTTCGTTCAACTGTCGAAGAACTACCGCCTCCATCGAAGCACACCTTATACTTCCCCGAAGCATTCGCTGATGATGGCATATTTTTTCTAGTCGATTGGTAATTTCATCCTTTCATTAAATCTGCTTCAACTTAATGAAGAGAGAGAAGAGAGGGTTATCGAAGCAGTGATCTATACTAGAGTTACGGTTTTCGCATTTGGCTCAACCTTTGACGAAGTGGGTTTTGTACACTAGGAGTCCACTACTTGCACTTTCAATCGCTGTGACAGCGATTTATCGCGGAGTTCAGTGACCTAGTGCTCATGCTGATAGCCACCAAGCACTAGGCGCGGAGTTCCACTCCTAGCTCGGCTATTTCTACTTGATGAGTGTAAACAAAGACGAAACCGTCGGTCGTGGAGTGCAAGGATAGGAGAGAGCCACACCGAAACCCTCCACTTCGGTGACGATCTCAGTGACCGTATTGGCAGAGGCTGACTTCAAAATCAACCGACGCCACTAGTGCGATTTCGCGTCGCAAACCAAGACACACGGCGGGTGCTACAAAAAAACCGAAAATCTACTTCTAACCGTTGTGTCAAACACTGCTCGCGGAGCTCAATGGCATAGTGATCATGACGATAGCCGCCAAGCACTATGCGCCGAGTTCCACTCTCTGCTCGGCTATCTCTACCTGATGAGTCTAAACACCGACAAAACCGTTAGTCGTGGACTGCACAGATGGGAGAAAGCCACACCGAAACCCTCCAATTCGAATATGGTCTAAGTGACAAAGGTTTATTTTGAAGTTTACCGTGAGCCCAATCGAGATTGCGTGTCGCAATCCAGTCACACAGCAAGTACTCTACAACCCACTATCGCAAATCCAACTTAACTACTTTGCGCAATGTTATCTTTTTTATATAAAAGCTGATGGTCTCATTGTGGTCGTTCTATGGAGATAACTGCTTTCCATTCTGTTTTACAGACTTTGTGCCCATTTAGTTAACAGCGCTTCATTGTTCTCTGTTTCGTCACAATTACACCCAAGCTATCCGCATTGCCTTGTTCATTTTACCATTATTCGAACCTTGTGCTCACAGAAATCCAAACCATATTGCCATCTTGCGCACTTCCTCTATTGTCGACCCATCACCGATGCGGCTAGTACATATCCGCCTCTAGGTACTTCATAGTATTTTTCTCGCTTACCGTGACACAGACCAGCGGTCCGCTCAGCGATTCTCGATAAACATTCCGATTTCTCGCCTTCCGATCTTGTAGTTCTACATTTCTTATTTCGATCTGTTTGCTTTACTTCCATCCTGCTTCACGTTATTCACCCACAGGTCAGTATTTGTCTCGCCCTTACACACCAGTGTGTGACAGCTTCGACTTCGCATTGCACCCAGATATCCCATTTGCGACATATGCAACCACAATGTCTCTAATGGTGAAAGTTTACCCCGACGGTCAATTGTCGCCAATGATTCAGAAGCTGCAGCGCGGTAAGGACTGAACTTACGATCCTCTTTCTCCTTAATGAGCATACTCAATCGTCTTTTCTGGTGAATGCCGGCTAAATGTGTTTTCTGTTGTGGAAGCACTCCGCCGCAGCAAAGTTAAGAATTTTAGTGCTCTGGCTTCTTCGCTTGAATGCTCGCTGCGGACGTACCTTTTATTATCGTTCTGATGTGTCCCCTTCCTGTAACCTTATAGTGACTGTAGCTCTATATTCCAAGCAACTTTCTAGAGCTATTCAGTAACATTTTCTGGAATTATTGCGTCCGCATGCGCAATGCCTCATCCTTGACCGGCTACATGATTTGTTTTCTTGATATCTCTATTCTATTCTCTTTTGCCATCATCAATATTTGCAATAGTGCAAAAATCAAGCACGCTCCGGTATTTCGAACAGCAGCTCGCAATCACCGCAAACGCGAATATTTGATGCAGTATATGATCTACCACTGCTAGAGGGCTCGGACGCACAGCTCCTATCTTCTAGCTCTGAGCGTGCGTCCGCCTTGGCGACGCACTTCGCTTCCGTGTTTGTAAATGACCAGGTGTCTGTACCGAGTTCGACGTGTACCGCGCTTACCGAACTCGACAGTCTGGTTTGCGGTGTTGAAGAGGTGCATCAACTACTCACCAACCTTGACGGCACCAAACCTGCTGGCCCTGACAGACTCCACCCCTTGATTCTCAAGTCCCTATCGGTCATCATCTCATCCGCTGTGACTGACTTGCCCAACAGGTCACCATCCGAAAGTTCATTGCCGACGGAATGGAAATGCTAATTGGTGAAGCCGATTCCGAAAGGCTGTGACCCCAGCAAAGTGGACAACTACAGGCCGATTTGCCCCACACTTATTTTGGCCAAGGTTGCCGAGAAGATCGTGAAGAAGAGTCTACTACAGCTGTTCTATTCAAATGATCTACTGACGCCCGCGCAGCACGGTTTTATGCTAGGCCGTTCATGCGTTACCAACATGCTGGTGGCGATGCATGAATGGTTTCACTCAGTAAGTCTGTCGACGTAATTTACATCGATTTCAGTAAAGCGTTTGACAAAGTAAACCATGAGGTCCTCCTCCATAAGCTGAGAATGTGCGGTGTTGGTGGATCACTGCACCAGGGGATCGTTGGGCGAAAGTGGAGGGTACAGGTCGGCGGCCGTCTAACTGACTGGCATCTCTCTATTTGTGGAGTACACCAAGGCACAGTGCTGGGGCCCACTCTTCCTAATTCACGTCAACGATGTACCTCAGATTCTTCGGTCGCCGTGTGCCCTGTTTGCGGATGACCTGAAGATTTGGAGGGAATTAACACCGCAGACGACTGTAGCTTACTTCAGCACGACCTCACCCACCTCTCCATGTGGTCTGCGGAAGTCCGCCTCCCGATCAACCCATCCAAGTCGATATTTATGAGCCTGGGAAAGGGTGTGATGGCTGAAGTTACACCATTGACGGCCAACCGCTACATCCCACACCTTCTGTGAAGGACCTAGGTGTACTCTCGCGTTGCGATTTGAAGTCTGTTGACAACACAAATAGACTGTATCGTGACGGACTGCGCAGGCTTTGGGCGATCAAACGCAGTTTCTCTACTTCATCTGAAGAGGTCAGCACTCGCCTCTTCTCTTCCATCATATGACCAATACTAGGGAACGGCTCACCTGCCCGATCACTCGAGACGAGACAGAAAATCGAACGGGTCCAACACGTCGCTACTAGAATCATTCCAGGTTTACGGGAATTATCGTACGAAGACCGGTGCGAGAAACTCAGACTCTACACCTTGTCCTATCGTCGGGTGCGATCGACCTACCGTATATTACATCTAAGTGACTTCCCTATCTTGAAACCGCTGCTTCGTTTACGGACGCCATGCAACACACGCGGATACCGGTACAAACTTGTGGTACCGTATATAAAACGATTATTCCACTCCCTATGCTTCGAACGGCGAGTGGTAAATGTGTGGAACAGTCTGCTAGAACACGTCCCGGAGGTTGAATCTGTACAACAGTTCAGAGCGTTATTGGATTTACATTTCAGACCCATTCGCTTCAGAGAACGATTGTACACTAGCAATGACATCTTGCATTTGTGAAACTGTAAATCAGATAATATAAATTGCTACATAAGAACTTGTTGAACGATTCGATTATCACGGAGTGCTGACACTTTATATAATATTTTTGTCTATATTGCGGTGGAGTTGTACAGATTTATGTTACTACTTGTTCCCACACACAGTATTCAGTTAGCCGACGGTGAGAAACGCACTTCAGCTAATGTACCGCAATACAACACAATGACAAATGTTCATTTATCGGCTTGACTTGTGTGGATTTTGTTTAGGGAATCCAACCGCCACGAATTCGTCAGTCTTCTAAGCACCGTCACTGCTGCGGTCCTTCTGATGATTATTCCATGCTTCTCCATATCACTGTAGTGTTTGTAATCCTTTACATGACCTCAAGCCGCGCTCCACACCTCCAACTCTATAACTTCCACCGGTTCAATACGCCTCATGTACTGTCTGACTGTTCTGCCTTAGGCCTATGTCTTCCAAGCGACATTTGTGCAACACCGAATTCAATCTCATTCTGACTCTGGTTATGCACCAACTACCCACCACTCTTTGTACTATCTCAAGTATGATGGTTCTGTTTTGCTTTTGAGTGCTGCTTCTTTCCCCATAAAATGAATGCTCCTGACTGTTATTTTCTCATTGCCCTAACTACGCAGAATGATTGTTTTCCTCGTCTCCTCCACTACTCCCACTCCGATCTTTTCGTGTACTGGCCTTGTCATGCTAGCGCTACCTTCTTTTGCTTTGTGCGGCGTACCAGTTCTACCTCAGCCTTTCGCTTTTCATTCTCTCAGGAGACTACATTCAGGTGAGTTTTCCTATGGGGCAGATACCTCCGAACTTTCTTCGGTCTCCTACTCCCATTGGTGTTTCTCCCGACGAAGATCCTTCCTTAGTTCCATGCTCCTCAGTGTTCATGCTCGCTGGCGGCAGCGGTATCACTCCCATGTTACGCCCCCTGAATTGGTTGTTATGCGACCAGGGGGCAATTGACCATTTCCGCCTCACAGTCCATATGATTTGGTTCAACCGCACAGTAAATGATGTGCCCATTAAACAAGAACTGGACGATTTACGCTATCGGTTACCTACCAGGCAAGTGTCCACATCTGATCGCCGCTTTGGTGTTCCGTTGCGCCTCTTCTCAGTCTCGCATTTTCATTTATTTTTATTTTCAGGTTCTCTTTAATGCATGTTTTATCTGAGCACTCGACTGAGACACTGCCTAGTGGTTTCACGTCCGGCTGCATTTCTGACCAAATTTGTCGCAGTGGCTTGCTGACTCTCCATCTGGCTGGCAAGGATCCATCCACCTGCAAAGACCATGTGACTTGGTTGATTTGCGGTCCATTAGGATTCAACCGCGTGGCTGTTCAGTAAGTCCCACCATTTTCATTGTCCCATCGATTCCAGTTGAGCATCATCAGTTGGTTTGGTCGGTGACCGTCAGTTAATTTTGCTCTGGAAATCGATTGGGCTACCTTATGCACTATTGAGTGATTTGTTCATTCTTTGGTTTTGCAACCAGAGCCATTTGTTTAACTGAATCAAATGAGGAACCTCATAGACTCAGTAGGACCGTTCGTTCTGGATGTGAACGTGCAACTTATATCGAGGGGTTGAGTTTTCCAAACATGCTTTAATTTGCGTTGAGTTGACTTTGCCGGATAAACGGTTGTCACTGAGTTGTGCACCAGTCGCGAACTATGATAACTTGTCCGACCTCCCCAGTGCAACAAACTGGTCTTTCCTAGCCGAATGGCCCCCTAAGTTAGCCTAGGGGAATTTGTCAACCTATTTGACAGGTTAATGCTAGGCACCTCTGAAACCTAGATCCACCGCTCGAAAAGGATGAGGTGGTTCTTATGGTGCAGGACTGGGAAATGCCTGACGTTAAAGGACTCGGCTTGTCTTGCTCGCAACCTCTCTGTGCGAGGATACCTGGGATGTCTATACAACACAAAGGAAACCCTGCGTCAAATTTGTCCTTGAAGATAAAGTAAATAACTATCCAGACCTGATGATAAAGTCTTGCTCTATCCCCAAGCTGCTATAAGACAAGTCAACAAACCCCGCAGGTTCAAGCGTTTGATTTCTACGCTGTACACAACGTGTGGGTTATCTCAAACGGCACAAGAGGCGGTCAGCTTTCTTGGATAACAACTTAGTCGTACCTTCCAGAGTGTACAATAATCTTACACCCTGTCTACGCAGATCATGATGACATCTGGCCTTAACCACTTATCCTTTACAACTGCAGATATACTGAAGCGGCTGGTGTCCTTGCGCGAGTACAGCTCGCCTGGTGCAAACGACGTTCGCCCGAAAGCGTTAAAAGTGGCTGCCATGAGTTTAATTGGAAAGTTAGCAATATTATTTCAACAATGTCTTAAGGAGATGCAGGCCCTCACAATTTGGAAGCACGGGGTCATCACTCCAACTTACAATAGTGGCAGAACCAGCTAATTATCGCCCGATAACACTACTTCCTGTTATCAACAAGATCATGGAGTCCATAGTTGCTGAGACGCCCATGAGGTACCTGCAGAGTAACAATATTCTCGCTCCGGAGCAGCACGAATTTCGGCATGTACTACTAATCTACTGATAACTCTTGCATGCTGGACGAAATCTGTGCATGCTGTTGTAGGAGTAGATGCCGCCTATCTAGATGTCTCGAAGACATCAACTCTCTGACCCATCGCACTTTTTACTTCCCAAACTTCAGAATTCTGGAATCGGCGATCCCGTTCTGTGTTGGATAGGCGACTTTGTCGCTCAATGTCACCTGATCGTGAGAGTTCGCAGTACCCTATCCGAACCAATCCAGTGCGGCATACCTCATGGCTTGGTACTCAATCCTTGTCTGATCCTAGTCTTCATAAATACTCTCGCGAGGGTACTCTCTTCGAATTTCCTGCTACTAGTCGATGACCTAATGATATGGCATACCACTCCAATATTGGGGGATCACACAACCCTACAACATAATCTAGACAAAGCATACACTTAGTCCATCGAGAACATGCTCCAATTCAACGCCACCAAGTGCAAAATTCTGAGCATGCAGCATCAGAGCACTCTCAGCTACCGGCTAGGTTCACTAATGGGATTTCGGTGTGCTCATGCAAGGTGATCTACGTTGTTTGAGACATCAAAAAAGCATCAAAGAATAAAAATCAGCACTTCTGCCTCCTTCGTAGGGCGTTCCGGAATTCCAATGCCCCAGGCTTTCCGAAAGTACTCGGCGCGTATGTGACGCCGCACGCAGAATACGCTATCCAAGCGTGGCAACCCTGACAGAGTCAACACCTCACTGCGCTCGATATTGCACAATGCAAGGTGACGAAGAAGTTTACAACTCTGTCCAGCTTTCGTTATCTACTAAGGCTGAAAACTCTAAAGTGTACAGTGGACATTATCGGCGTCTGCGGGGCGATCTCATAATGGTCTACCAAATCCTAAAATTCCAAAACACACTTGCCACCATCTTTCGGAACTCAGCCGAGGCACATCTCTGGTGAGCCATCTGTTTAATTTGACAACGCAGTACAGTCGACTGGGATGTCGTCGATGCTTTTTCTCCCTCAAAAGGTTTCAGCCCTGTAACTCCATACCAGTGCATGTGATTAATGCTCCCACTTCATCTCTACATAAATGCGCCTTGTTGTTACCCTGACATACTTACACTATATGACCGACAAGTAATGGGATTAATGCAGAACAAACAGTGGATGGTGTTATAATCCTCTCAAACTCCAGACAGCAATACTCACACCTTATGCATATCGCGTGTTCTTTGCCGACACTGTTTTCTATCTGGTTATTTTCCCCCTAACCATCCTACGGGACTTGTCAAGCATTTACTTTTATATCCGTTATAAACTATTGTTCCGTTACCATTGAACAATTTCCCAACGTGTGTCGAACAATTGCTATATAAGAATGAAGTATCCACTCACGTAGAAACAAACTCCTAAGCACAAACCCGTCTTACTCTCATAGTGTCGTAGCTTACTTGTTCACAGAAGTGTAGAGCGAAACTCAGGTTCCGGTTTCGATGAGTACCAGAAGGAAGCAATACGGATACCAATTATTCAGAAGTGAGTACCAAGCCAGACTGAACGTGTATTGTACCGAGCTGCAATGAACTAGAAACAAATTAGCAAGAGCACAGAGCAAGGTAGCGTGCGAATCCCAGCGAATTCGAAAGTGAACCAGACGTGCCATCAGTAAAACAAGTGACGATCGGAAGATACAAACAAGAATAAAATTCAATATCACAAAATTTTGCAAGCGTCAATGTTTCATGTTCACTATAAAACTCAAGTGAGCATGAATATTATAATCTCAGGTCCTCTTACCGTTGGACAGAGATTAGGTATTGGTTTGCCATCAAAAGTCAGACAGCTATTAGGCAGTCGCACGTGTCACCAGAGAAATACGTCTTCTACTTTGACACAAGATCGAGTTGGCTCATGTTTACAGCATCATTGGAGGTATCTTTACGGAAACTGTATACGATTTTGATGTCATCGTCAAAAAATTGTTGTGTGCCGAATTTTACTACATCGACGATATCTGTAACATATATAACGGAGATTAGTGGCCCAAATGCTTACGCCCTGTTATTCAATGATGTCCTTCATTTACTTAAACTGACGGCACTTCTGCATATTTGACCCGGTGTGTTTATTTAAAAGTTCGATGCGCCCCACTCCTTTCCGCTTTAGTTGCAGTTCATTGTGCAACTATCTATCTTAGGCTCCTGCAGTTCAATAATCAACACTTCCTGACGGAGGCGTATTTCACATGACATACTGATGTGTTAGAGAGTAGTAGCAGGGAGTTTATTCTTTCTTTGCGAGAAGGTTCGTTGCAGCTAAACTCGGTCACAATATTGAATGCTGTGTTTTTGGGGCAAGTAAACATCTAACTACGTACAACTCCATCGGAATATAATCAAAAGTGTTCTAAAATTTATCCGTTACCCGTCACAATCTAATCGTTCTTCAACTTCTTATGTAGCATTTAAAAGTGTCTAGTTTACAGTTTCAGTGAACTTACAAACGTAGAATATCATTGCTAGTGCGTAACCATTTTCTGAATTGAGCGTTGGCGAAATGCACAATTCAAATAGTCACCACATATTCAGGAGTGCACTAGATGACCCTTTCGCCTTATCATGACTCGTCAGTAACGTGCTTCCGCCTGGTCTTACTGTATCCAAACCCATGACCGCACTGTTAAGAGTCTGAAACTTATACCATTGATCCATGGGTGATGGCAGCTGACTGCCTTGACTGTATTCTAACTGCGATATGACTTGGCTCATCCTGTACTGTCATGAATGTTATGAACGTGTAGAGGACATGGACAACCCACAGAGCTACGACCATCTCTTCGACCAATTGAGCTATGCCTTATGGTGCTTCCTGGCGCATTGAGTATTCCTACCAGCTTGATCAATGGTTAGAGCTCAGACGAACTGAAAATGTAGTGTCCTTCGTGAGATCGCGATTTGTTTACCCAGCACATTGGATCGGAGCCGTGACAATTATGTCCACTCCGTGCTTATCCAGTGCGGCTCTTATCGCTTAAGCACTCCCCACACAATGTCGCAAGATGTCTGTTACACCTAAGCGAAATCAGAACAGCCGTATGATAGTGGGAAAACTTCTGTAGCAAACGTGATGCAGTACACCCTACTCAGCACATGTCAGCATGTAAAAACTGTCTGCCATGATAGTCATATGAGCGAGAGAACGAATTCCAGTACGAACCGAATCAATGGCGGACACTGATTGGTTGTTACACAAACACGTACGCACATTGGTACACACACTCCTAAGCAGCAGGCTTTTCGGTTGAATAGTAGTGAGTAGATCTGTAATGACCAATGACCGTATCATCCCTCCCTCCTTTGGTTCGGGCTGTCCGGCCTGCAAGCGCTCGATTTTTCGCCATTGACGATTGCCGTACGTTTGATAAGAGTCTTTCGATTTTGCTCAGTCGCCGTAGATCAGCCGCGCAGGTCAGGGTGAGATTGGAGCGCACTAATTTGCCGACCCACCAATGGCATGTAAGTCTACTGTATTTACTCACCCACGCATGTCTGGGGGTGTGAATACGACGTGAGGACGCATAGTGGTGCATGTGTTCTTGAAATATGTTAATTACCCCCGGCGATTTTGACACCGGTCGGTTCAGATTGGGTCGCTGCCGACGTTTCTGGCTGGTGGTTTGCAACATCTCGACAGCAGTGCATAATGCACTGGCTACCGTGTTCAAATGTTGGTGGCGCATCGACAGTTGCTTAATGTTATCCCAGCAAATGATAAAAGGGTTAGTGACAACGCTGTTGTAGACTGTTACC